TTACTGTCTCAGCACTCCGCAGCCTACAACTACAATACACAGGTCATGCCTTCAACAAGCTTAAAAATTAGTTGAGGAAAGCAGACAAACACGAAACAGTGAAAGAATAACGTGTCTTGACACAATTAAGTGTTAACTGCAGAGTCTTCCGATGTGACATGAATTAGAAAAAAAATAAGATCGCTGTTAACAGGAAAAATCCGGGAGAACTTCAAAACAGAAGTTGACTTGAGCTGAGCACAGAAGGGCAAGAGGAACACGGAGTCATCTGGAAGGGAGGTATCCAGCGAGGCAATGAAGAGCAGGAGCTAAAAACAGAAATGGCAGCATCTGGCCGAGACAGGGACAGGTAGGCGCTCGTTGTTTAGAGCAGAGACCGCTGGCTGATCCGCCGATCCCACTCCGCACCCACTTGAAAGTCTTCAAAGTTAGCAAACAAAATAAAGAAAGTTAAATAAAATGTATTCCAAAACAGCCCATAAACAGCCAAAACTCTCATTACGAATCTTTATGTCTAGAGAGAAAATGCTGAGTCGTCTGGAAGGACAGCCACAGGAGCGACAGGAACTAACCCGCAGGGTCCGTGCGGGCAGAGCGGCCCTCCCTACCGGCCTCCGCAGGGAAGCGAGAGGCAGGCGGGCCTGCAGCAACCGAGCAAAAGAGAGAGACCGGGGCAGGACAAAAGAAAAGTTCTAGTACCTTCCGTAGGACTTGGTGACTACAGAGATGTGAGGGAAAGAGGAGACACAGATCACTTCCGAACAGGGCAGAGCCCGAGTGACTGAGAGACCAGCAACTTCATTCTCAAACTGGAGAGTCAGAAGAGGGTCAGGAAGAGAGACGGTGAGGAGGAAGGGAAGTCAGAATGAGTAGGACTGAGGCTGTAACAGGGTTGAGGCCCTGGTGAGATACACAGTTGCAGTGTCTGGCTGGCTGGTGACAGCAAGAGGTGGCTGGCTAAAAGGAGAAATCAGGTTAGAAAGCTTTCCGTGCCATTAGACAGGAGGAAGACAGTTGAAGGGATATTTTTTTTCTCTCTGACAGAGAGAACACAAGTAGGCAGAGAGGCAGGCAGAGAGAGGGGAGGAAGCAGGCTCCCCGCAGAGCAGAAAGCCCGATGTGGGGGCTTGATCCCAGGACCCTGAGGTCGTGACCTGAGCCCAAGGCAGAGGCTTTAACCCACTGAGCCACCCAGGCACCCCAAAGGGATATTTTTGACACTGCACTGATTATAACTATTTGTTCTAGTGTTTGGCCCCTTCCATTGGACTATGAGCTCTTTGAGGACAAAGATCACGCCATAACTGTCACCATTTCCCCAGGGTCTCCATGAGTGCTGCGAGACAGTATAATAACAGTGTTCTACATTCAAATCTCAGCTCTACCACTTACTAGCTGTACCATCCTGTGCGAGTTCTTTCTTTCTGTGCTTGGGTTTCCTCACCTGTGAAACTGGGCTAATGGTGCCTGCTCTTGGCACATAACTCCTCCTAAACCCTGCACTAAAAAACTAGACCAAACTGGATCACGGCTTCTAGCCGCAAAATGCCATATCCCAGGAAGACCCCAGCTTCCCCATCACAATGCCTGCCTGAGAAAACTAAAAATGCTGCAGGAAATTTTACTATTTGTTCTAGCAACACCTGCCAATAGGCCCTTGATCTCCCCTTCTTAGACCATTTATTAAAAGGTGATTACAATTGTGAATATGTATCTCTTGCAACTCAAAAGTATCTCTCAGAGCACCTGGGTGGCCCAGTCAGGCAACCAACTCTTGATTTCAGCTCAGGTCATGATCTTGGGGTCACAGGATCGAGCCCTACACTGGGCTTCACGCTAAGCATGGAGTCTGCTTGAGATTCTCCCTCTTGCTCTGACCACCCCCCCCCCAAGTCAACGCACTTGCACTCTCTCTCTCTCTCAAATGAATAAATAAATCTTAAAAAAGAAAAAGAAAAAAAGAAGTATCTTTCTCAAGGACCTGAGAGCCATCCCTTTGAAATGTAATCATCAGGAAGGATAGGGCCTCTGTTTCCCAGTCTCTGTGGCAGGACAGAATCCTATTTTTAACTGCTAGCTAGCAAACACTGCTGGCCTAATTGCATTTGCAATGACCAACCCCTTGTGGTTTTTCACTTCTCTGACTCTGTGGAACCCCTGCTCTACCTCTCACCCCATTCTACCTTTAAAACACCCAAATCGTTTCTCACAAACTGGAAGGGAGCTCAGCTCTTTCCCCTACTGTCAGTAGTTCCTAAATAAAATCTGTTTTCACTACATTCATGTCTGGCTGTGTTAATTTCTGACACTAGCTCATAAATTTGTTAAAAGAATTAAATATAACTATTAATTACTTGTTGATAACTTCCAGAAGAGTGGGATCAGAATGGTTTAAGGAGATAAAGAAAAGCTGAAGGCCCTCAAAGGAACTATCTTACTGCCATTCAAGATCATCATCTTTGGAATGGCATCTTTGCAGTGTGAAATGAAAAACAAGGGATAAATACACAAGAATTCTTCTTTTAATATGTCACAGGAGCCAAGACGGCAAAGTAGAAGAGATAAGAAAAAGATGCTGAACATCTTTTTAAAAAGTATGACAGTAAGAGCCTCATACCAGCAGATGGAGCCTCATGATCACATTCTGTCATCTTCTCTACCTTCTTCCTTTTCTTTTATAATTTTAAAATGTTTTACTTGAGTTCAAACAATTAGCATTAGAAAATACTTTAAAATTTTTTAAAAAGTTGCAACTCTGAACTCAATCAGAAATACTGAGTGAAAAACAATCCTATTAATTCAAATGATAGTGTGTTTTGTTTTTTTCCCTTCTTCCTTTTCGAAGACAAATCCAGATAGCCCCGAAGGTTCATTCGTTCCCCATGCCTGTGACTTGGCAATGTACAGGCCCAGTGGGTCTGAGTCACCTCAACACAAGGAATAGGCTGATACCAGCTGCTGAGTTCTGGAGGTGCCCCCTTTCTAACAAGGTGACTTCCCTGACCAAGAAATCTCTACTATTGCACAAAGGTTTGGGTGTTCCTTGCCATACTGTGGGAGTGTTATGGGATGTTACGGGAGTGAGGTCACTGTTCACTAGAGAGCATTCACCATACTGAGTCCAGTCTAATCAAAAACGATCTAAGCGCACTCTCTGTGGGAGAACAAGATATTAGAGATTACACAGACTCTGCTAGTAAGTTTAACCCCAACATATCCTATTGGATATTGCCCCAAGGGCAAACTAGTGTGATCCTGACCTCCTTGAACACCAAAGTGTCCATAATGAACTGATGCAGCATAGGAAAATATTCCTGTGCCTGTAGATAAATTTGAATTTAGTAGCTATTCAAACTGCATTGCCTACTAAAAAAGAAAATTAAAATTTTTAAATGGTTAAAAAAAATTGACCCCATCACCTGTCATATCAGCCTGTTTTAATTCTTTGAAGGATACCTACTCTACATTTTCTTATGTCCTCATTAATTTGATGTCTCTCTTTCTTCTCTAACTTACAAAAATATATACTATGTGAAAGTAGAGATTTTTGTCTGTCTTATTCACCCTGGAGCATTCAGCACCTAGAACAGGATCTAGCAACAAATAGTCACCCAATAAACGTTTACTGAGTAAGCCTGCACTTACTAAACTTAAACAACCTTGCCTTATCTCCTAAACCACTTCTTCAGAACTCTGAGCTTAATGACCCACATCGATGTTTTCACTAATACTTGGTGTGTGCCTCTACCTCTGCTGTTTTCAGACTGTATTAAAATTACCCATTTGTGTGTTGGGCTCGCTCAGAAAACTGTCGTCGGCTTGAGGTCAGAGACTTGAGTGCCTGGCATTACAGTAGGTACTCAGTAAATATCTGTGAAATAAAATCAACTGAAACCACAGCCTGACACTCCTAGGGGCCAAAGGGCCTCAGGGAGTACTCAAACGCTAGCACAGCAACATTCAGCCGTGCGACCCCGCAGACCACCAGCAGCGCCTTTCCCTCGCTGCATGGGCACAGGTCAGACAAGCCCGGGCAGCGCCAGACTAACCCTCCCCAGGCGGCGATCGCCCGTCCCCAACCCCAAAGGAAACAGAAGAGTGACACACACACATGAGCATCCGTACCGAACACACACAAGTGCTCCCCATACACCGACAGGACCCGCCGCCCACGGACCAGCCCAGGTGCTCGCCCCAGCCATCCCTGCCCTCGCTCTGGCCTCAGGCCCAACCGGGAGAGACCGACATGAGAACGCGGGGTTGCAGCCATGCCGCCTGCCAGTGTGAACCGCCACAAATCTCCGCCGCGGCTCAGGCTGGACTCTCGCCAGGCCGACAACCCGCCTTCGCCAGGCTCACCAGTTTGTCCCCCAAAGCAGCGGCGGGTACCCGCACAGCCTCACCTGGGCGCAGCCATGTTGGAGGAAGCTGCACTACATTTCCCGTGAGCCTGCGGGGCGACGAGGGGGCGCTCCCACAATCCCCTTCGCCGCCCTGGACTCTCGTCTTCTTGCGCAGCCTCGCTTAGGCCCGTGAGCCACTCTGCGTTATCTTGAAGACTTGGTTATTTATTTGCGGGAATAGTAAGGGCCGGGAGTGCATCTAACTTCTAGTGACTCCCCACATGGTCACTGTCAAGCCCGTTGTGTCCCTTGGTCGCACAGTGATGCCTCCCCTCCTTGAGCTTGGTACATCTTTCCTCCTGAATCTTCTTAGAGAACGGTAGAGGGCCCTGGGGTTCTGAAAGGTGACCTCGCGCCCGGGCGACAGAGAGGAAAGGAAAGGGAATATACATGAGTGTGCCTGGGAAGTGGGGGGGATCACACAGGGGCAGGATGATGTGTGCAAGGATGCGGGAGGTGGGGTGGTGGTGGATGCAGGAAAGATGGGCTGCCCCAAGTCACAGAGGACTCTCTGTAATTAAAGAAACCATTCTCTTGTGTAGGTCTGAGAGGGCCCTGGGGGAAATGTTGCTATGTGACCTAGCTACTGGTGGAAGGTGGGAGGGGAGAGTGAAAGTAAGAAGACTAACAGGCTGGTGCGGTGCTTAAATACAAGGTAACAAACTATTAAGTAGGACCCAGCAGTGGCAGACGGAAAGGAAAAAGATTTGGTTAACAGACCAGAAGACACAGGAGAGGATGATGATTAGCCATTGTTTTCGCTCTAAAGTCACTGTGTGGGACGTGAATGTACTGTCACCATTCTGTCTGCATTGTTTTGTGAGCTGTGTGGGTGCAGGGGAGGCAAGGGGAGTGAGGAGGACATCACTTCCTGGAGTGCCGATCCATGCAGGGCCCCCATGCGGGTACCCGGTCACAGTGGATGGGCAGTAAGAGCTGGGGCTGGCTGGCCTAGGAAAATTGGCCCCTGAAGAACAGGTTAGAAGGAGGCAAGGACAGAAGTTGGGGGCAGACGGGCAGTCATTGCAATAGTCCCAAGTAGGAGAGAATGAGGCTGAGGCTAAACTGCAACAGTGAAGAGCCAAGTGCAAGCGGGAGAGGTTAGACGAAACACACACCGCCAACGACCTGGGAGAGTATAAGGGAAAACCTGCTCAGTCTCGCCATTGTGTTCTTCTGCACAGCTAGATGCATTCAGAAACACACTCCACCGGAGCTTTCTACGATGATGAAATGTGTTAGTTGTCCAGTATGGTAGCCCCCTGACCATATGTGGCTTTTGAGTATTTCAAGTGTGGCCAGTACAACGAAGGAAGGGAATTTTGAATTTTTATTTTTATTTGGTTTTGATTAAATTTAGATAGCTGCATGTGGCTAATGGCTAGCAAATTGGACAACAATATAAAGTATCTCCTCTTGGCCAAATTCAACTATTTCATCTTCTTATTCACCCTGCTTGAAGGTACTAAAGCTTTTAAAACTTGAATTTCTTAGCCTCCATGAAGCCACCTTAGTTATCTTAATTCTCTTTATACATTCTGATCACTTGTTTTTAGAGTTTTTCACTAGCTTGCCTTCACCTTTCCACGGTTAAACAGAAGCAGTCCTTCTGGTTTTCTTTGACCCTCTTCTCTTATTCTATGGTCTTTCCCCATCTGCTGCCCCAGAGTTTGAGGGATTTGTGAATCATTCCCTAATCTTTTATCTTCAGCCGTGACTTCCCTTTGGGAGGCAGTTTGGTTTAGTGAAAACAATATGGGCAGTGGGGTATGACCTGATGCAGAAACTACAGAACAGCACTTGCCTTTGGGGATTGATGTAATAATTACTTAGTATAAAATATCTATTAAATGGTTGTTCATTCCTTTTCTACCTTTCTCGTCTTCGGTTACAGGCAATAATTCCAACCACACACTGTCCATCCTTGCCTCCAAATACTTAGAAAAAGGTGGATACATACAAATTTTGCATGAAATCCTTTTTATACAGGCCCTTCTCTTTTGCTTGGAATACTGCATGGATCGTTTCTCCCAGAGAAGATGACTCCCTGAAGCGATTTTCAGCTACATTAAGGCCCTGTTTTATTCATTATGTAATTCCAGGGTCTTCTATAGTCTTGTAATAATAGAAATCTAATAAACGTTGAGCTGAAAAGAAACTTAATTTGAAGGTAGAATTCATCTTCACCTGTGCCAAAAGCTTTACGTGGTGATCTATAATAATTTCTCAAAAAAAAAAAATTAAATACTGTCCGAATGACTTTTTCCTTAGTAAAATTCATCTCAGCTTTTTGGTAGGAGCAGTCCTCTGGATGACGGGTGCAGGGGTTGGAAAGATTTTTCTATAAAGGACCAGATAATAAATATTTTCTACTTTGTAGTCACACATGGTCTCTGATCACATATCCTTTTTTTGTTCTGGTTTGTTTTTGTTTTTTGTTTTTTGTTTTTTAAACAACCCTTTGAGAATCTAAAAACCTTCCTTAGCTCCCCTGGCTTATGCCAGCAGGATTTGGCTCACGGGCTATAGTTTTCTGACCCCTGGACCCCCTTCCTGGACTCTGTAATCCTGAGCACAATCTCAAGGTGAAGCTAAGATTGGTGTGAAGATGTTTATTATGAATTACAGTATAAATGAATTTAATCAGATTAGTCAATACAACATTTTAAGCACAGAAAAGCAGAGGTCTATCCTACAGTAGAGCTCCAGAAATCAAGGCTAGGAGCAAGCTATCATTCAGAACTGCTTTTACTTGCCAATGACAGAAAACTAGACAGACTGCTCTAAAAAAAAGTGATTTTTTATGACAAGCCATCCAGACAAAAGCCATCATTGGTATTGGTTCTACTGTTCAAAAATGTCATCAAGAGGGGCGCCTGGGTGGCTCAGTGGGTTAAGCCGCTGCCTTAGGCTCAGGTCATGATCTCAGGGTCCTGGGATGGAAACCCGCATCAGGCTCTCTGCTCAGCAGGGAGCCTGCTTCCCTCTCTCTCTCTCTCTCTCTGCCTGCCTCTCTGTCTACCTGTGATCTCTCTCTGTCAAATCAATAAATAAAATCTTTAAAAAAAAAAATGTCATCAAGAACCCAGGTGCTTTCCACTCCTCCCACTCCACCACCCTTTGTACGTTGACTTTTTGTCCTCATTCTTGATGTCTCCTGGTTACAAGATGGCTGCTGCAGCTGCTTCAGATATCTTGTCCCCATACTAGTGTCTCTAGCTGGAAAAAAGGAGCAGAGTCTCTGCCTTCTCATCCAGGAAATGAAGTTCCCAATGGACTCCTTGTTTCTTTGATCATACATGGACTGCATACTATAGGGAGCAGAATAATGGGCCCCCAAAGATATCCACACTCTAACCTTTGGAAACTGTGAATATGCAGGAATAATGAAGTTTGCAGACCTCAAAATAAAATATCTAAGGGCCCAATATAACCATGCAATTCCTTAAGAATAAAATATCCAACCCTCTGGGTTCCCTTTCCCATCAGACCTGAACACTGGTCTTGGTGGTTGTTAAAGGAGGAAAAGGAACAATGAAGCTGGCCTCCCAGTATCCATAGTCTGGTATACAGCTTGTGGGCTGCTTCAAACAAGGTCCGAATACAAAACCAGCAAACAAAAAACCAGAACATCTACTCTGGCCAGAACAAGAGAGATCGAGCAGAAGAAATCAAAAAGACTGGAAGTGTAAAGGATTCGACATACTGTTGCTGGCTCAGAGAGGTAAGAGTCTGTGTGCAGGGTCTGGAGAGAGGCTTCTAGAAGCTAGAAGCATCCCCCAGCTGACAGCCAGGCCAGCAAGGAAATGGGGACCTCAGTCCTACAACCACAAGGAACTGGATTCTGCCCACAATCTGTATTATCTTGGAAGCAGATCCTTCCCACAGTATCTTGGTCAGGGGCCCAGCCAGCTGACAGCCGTTCTGTCCTTATAAAAGAGCAAAAAAACCAAGCACACCAACTGAAACTCAGGGCCTACAAAACCGTGAAATAATAACTGTGCTAATTTGTTACATCAGCAATAGAAAACTACTACACATGCTTGCCCCTGACCAATCACTATCTAAAGGAATTGGGATTGCCAAGGCCGCTTTCAGCTAGTCATGCTTAATTCCATGGGGCTGAGATGAGGCCCATCCTCCCTGTTATCAAGAAACCCTGGAAGAGTACACTCTACCTGGAGCAAAGTAAAATGAGTGTTCTATCAGCAAGAAGAACAGGAAAACATTTGTTTGGCAGACAAGTAACAGCATATTCCATAAGAGGGTTAAACACTTCATGCAGCTGGATTTATCCCAAAACCCAAGAGAAAGGGACACTGGAAGGATGGGCGCTGTCATAAACTAATAAAGCACTGAAAGTTAGAATTTTAATAGCATCACGTTTCTACTTCAAGATCCCCAATCAGACAACACCAAAGATGTTCCCAATAGACCCTGAGACTTATTATATATTTACAATGGTTCCAAATTGTGAAATCATTTCACTGCAGTTTCAGACTTAATTCCTAATCTTAGAAGTTTTCTAATTTCCCTTCCTCCTGACCCAGATCATTTGTTTTTGGCTACCTTCTGGCTTTTTCCCCACTTGTCCTCAGTGGCAAGTGTACTACTTTTGCTTGTTTTTCTTTTTTTTTCCTATTTATGGTTTAAAAAAAAACAACAACTTTCATTTCTCAGTCTTTCCACTTATTCTTCTGCTACTTATTTTATGCCTCCTAGGTAAATGACAAGTTTGTATCAAATGACTAGTTTCCTTTTCAAACTTTTCTCTCTGCTGCTTCCCGGATTGCTGTCTTCTTGAAACTCCAGCAAGAACGCATTATGTAAAACCATTTGATGTTCACAGTGACATTTCAGAACCAAATCCATTATTCATGCTTTGGTGATAAAAATTCAATGAAAAGTTTGCAGTTTTGTAAGTCATATGGTGAAAGAATTCCTGTGCAGTAATTAGAGGCAAAAAAAAAAAAAAAGAAAGAAAGAAAGAAAGAAAAAAGAAAAGGGGCCAGTCTTCAATGTGTTATATAAAACATAAAAACACCGCTTGGAGGATTGATGGTTTTTTCGGTCAGGTGCAAAACATAAGATTTTACCTATAAAACATTAGTGTTTTGGGGCGCCTAACTGGCTCAGTGAGTTAAAGCCTCTGCCTTCGGCTCAGGTCATGATCCCAGGGTCCTGGGATCGAGCCCCGCATCCGGCTCTCTGCTCAGCAGGGAGCCTGCTTCCCAACCCCCCTTTCTCTGCCTGCCTCTCTGCCTACTTGTGATCTCTGTCAAATAAATAAATAAAATATTTTTTAAAAATTAATGTTTTAATGTCCACACCCACCCTCCCCACACACAAAATGGTTTACTTATTCTTGAGGTTGAAGACCTGCTGCTTCACAGAATGATTACTTACTTTTGGCATACTACTCAGACAGAAAAGAATAAAGTGCAGTAAGTCAGGGTACAGAAAAATCTTTGCTGTGGCCAGAGGACTGGGATTTGTGACTTATAAAGATTATGATCAAATGAGGCAACTTTTTATAAATGTTTCCCTTTAAAAGAATTTAAAACACATAACCTTAAAAATGTATAAACAATTCATTTTAAAATGTTAACTTTGATGGCTTCGTACCATCATTAATCTCTAAAAAGATGCACCAAACTAAAAAGATCCGTGCTGAGAGATGAGGCTTACCAGCTGCATCATTTACTGCACTGGACGTAAATCTGTATTTCCTATCATCTTCATGATCATTTCTAATTTGGGGGGATTTCTTGTTAGAGCTAATTAGATGGCCTTAGCTTTTTGTTTACGGCTAACAAAGACCTCCATTGTGCCAGAAGCATCGGTTCTGCCATTTTCTGTTGCTCGGCTGGAATCACCCTTATTCACCTCCACTGTAGGGAATTTAGAATTTTCTAACCCACTTGTCCATTTTGCAAAAATAGTTTTTGGATTATGTAAGCAACTTACCAGGCACCAAAATCATGCCTCGCTTAAAGCAAAGGAGGGAAGGCACCAGAGGCAGATCCTCTGCCTGAGAACTCCCACTCCACTCTTCTTTTAGAGTAGCTCTCTAAGTCTGCGACGTGTGACAACCCGACACGCAGACCTGATGAAGCCTCCAGCACACCAACTGGGAGTGGAGTCGCACTTGCTCTCCATGAAACTGTAAACAGAATTGTCAACGTCTTCCAGCTATGCTCAGCTGTGCACGCTGCACGCTAGAGGCTAAAGGCCCAGGTCACGTTTCTCAAAGGGTGGGCCTTAGGCTGGCCGCCATCAGCAGCACCTGGTGAAAAAGGAATTCCAAGCTCCGCTAGACAGCAGCCAATGAAAGGCAAATATAAGTGTTCACAGCTTTTCTGAACCCCGGTGGATTACAGGATACATTTCAAAATCTCCGCAGCCAGGGCCTAGCGATTCTGCATGTTTAACAAGCCCTCCTGCTGCTTTTCAAATGCTCAACCATCGAAGAAAAATTTTGCATGTTATCCGTCAACACAGTACTCTTCAAAAACCTGCCCCAGAGTAACGAATGGCCAGGGTTCTAATATTTGGGAGTTATATTTTTGGTCAAATGTTTTCATTTTATAAGGTACGAGGGACCAAAAAACCAAATGGTATAGCACTCGGAGTATCAAATTATTACAGAACCTGTAAAATATATTTTCTCATAACAATCCCAATTACTGTCATCTCCATATCCCATTTTACAGATGTAGCAACTGAGACTTAAAGATGCAGTGCAAGCTGGTTAAATAGGAGACATTTTTAAGAGAGTGACTCACATTCATGTCTGTGTCCTCACATGAATAAAAAAGCTCAGTTTTATATGTTAAAACGTATCTATCTACTATCTTTTGGCAAGCACGACAGTAAACATACATTATTATTTAACCCTAACAACAAAAACAACCCCAGGAGTTAGTTTTATGCTCTCAGTTTAACAAATGTGGAAACAGAGGCTCCACCAGATGAAACGACTTTCCCAAGATCACACAGTTAGTGACAGAGACAGCAGTGCCTCCCAGGTCTCCCCTTCTCCAAGCTTACACATAATGCTCAAGGACACCACTGCAGGAAGATGTCCATTGGTATTCTAAGTCTGTCCAAGAATTATGAGACAAATACAGACTTGAAAAACATGAAAAATGTTTTGTTTAAATGGCTGCATCCTTTCAGCAAGCACACGCAGGAATAATTTATACAGTGTAACTTTTAACCTTCAATAAAGATAGTGTGTCCAGAATCCTAATTGCAAGTTTAGATGCTCTCTTGTCAACTTTTTAAAAAGACGAGCAGTATTAATTGTCTTGTTCTCTTCTGTCGTTCCAGCTCTCATCATCAGAAATAAGATTGGTCCCCATAACTTTCTCCCCTATTTCTGATCATGGCTTCGGAGACCATGGTTAGGAGGAAGTCAACCAGGCCTAGAATTGACTTTTCAACATCCCTAGGAAGGCTGTTGACATTCTCAGGATGAGGAATTAATAATTAATTAGCACTGATTATGGAGCTCTTCATGAAATTTAACACACCATAATGGAAACAGATAGCTTTGAAATATCATTTGAAACAAGAAACTTGGTGAACCTGAATTATTGAGGTGGTGATACAGGTAGACCATGATCTCAAGTTTAAAAATGTTTTCCATGCCTGCCTAAATAACTGTTTGGGGTTTAAGGACTCTGACAGATTTCTTAGGTCATCCCTTCTATTATAAATTCTTCCATAGTTTTAAATGCTCTTTCAGTGCTGTGACTGTATGTTATTGCGACAGTGACCTCGTGTTAACTAGTTCTGATCTAATACAAGGAGACTGGGGTGGGGTGAGGTGGGCAGGCAGACAAGCGTTGACTGGGAATTCAGGAAACAAAAGGAGTTGAGGGTAAACTGTTAAACAAATGGGCCTCTAGGACCTCAAGATATGCAGGAAGCACAAAGCCATATCCTGATCCATGTAGCACGCACCTCCAACCAGGAGATGGCAGCAGTGGAAGCAGGAACTGAGAGGAAAAAATAACAATAAATAACAATCCCGGGCAAATATCCATACTTGGAAATCAGGACCCTGCCCCCCAGTGCTCTGGCATCACTAAAGGCTCCTGGCTGGTCTGGAAGCCTTCAGGAGGTGCCATGTCACTGAAGTGATCCCAGGCTTCTCCCATTCAGCGTCCCAACAGGAAGGGTTGGGCATACCGAGCAGACATCAACCAAGCCAGGGTTGCAAAGGGTCTCTCAGAAGTTAGCCCAGTTTCTACAAAGAAAAGTGAACTAGATGTCACAGTGACATCACAGCATTTCAATATGAAGCAGAATGATGACTAGGGATTCGGGCCATAAGTTATGGAATGAAGCAGAAAAGCAAACCTGACTGGGAACTAAAAATGTTGACAACGGTGGCCAGTGCCAACAATCTAGGCTGGGCCTCCGGTTCTGCCAGTTCTTGGAATGGTGGTGAGGCGCACCCCTGGGAGGACTCAGGTCTGAGGTAGGAGGTATTTCGGCAACGCACAACCAATCGTGTGTTTGGGGGTAGTTCAGGTTCTTGAGCCACAGTGAAGTGATGCATAAGCACAGCTACAGTCCAATGGTGCAG